TATCCGGATATCCAATATCCGGATATTCCACGGGCAGATATCCGGATATTTCACGACAGAATGCAGTTTCTGCATTTTCGTGAAGATATCCCAAAAAGGTTCCCTTTTACCGATTTTAAACACCTAATCATGCATTTCTAGGTGTGTTAAGCCTTGCCCAACAACAAGTTGTCATCTTTTAACCTTAACATGCATCAAGCTTCCATTTTTAAGCCTTAAAACTCAAGTTAAAGGTTGGTACAACATACCAAGGCTCAAAACTCAGAATAGAGATGCTCTTGGAGCTCACCAACAGCCCCTCAACTGCTGACCACACAGGGTGTGCGAAAATGGAAGACAAGCAAGGCTCTTCCTCACCAAAGGTGGCTCCTTGGACCTCAAAAATGAAGTACAAGGTTCACTCACTCCACCAACCCAAAGTCAGCCTCCAACACTCCCTCAAGCTGACCTCCTTACTCAGAAACAGCACCACAAACCCCTTCCCAAAGGTGACTCTCCCTTATACAAGTGTTTAAGAGAAGCTTTCAAGGAAGAGAAAGCCTTAAAGCTCAAGAAATGGTGAAGAAAGGGATGAAAAAGTGACACACTCAGACCAGCCACCCAATCCCACGAAGAAGAGGCAGTTTTCTAGGGCATTGTGCCCTTAGTAAGTGCATTTATAGCCAAAACTCACTTAAGCACACAATATTAAATTTAAATGCTACGCTTAACATTTTAACCCCAAACTTTGGATTATGAAACTACATAATTTTTTAAGAATTAACATATTTTTCTTATATTTTTCTGAGCAACTTTCCGGTACGCGCTTTTCAGAGCCAGTACCGGTTTCTAGCACCAGTTCTCATTATTTGGACTTGAAACTCGTTTTACAAGTCCTACATATTATTCTAGTAATTATCATGCACTTACATTAATTTTCTGGGATACTTTTTCGGTACACATTTATACCGACTAGCAGAACCGGTATCTGCACTTTTCTTCCGAAAAGCGACTTTCAGCATTCTTAATCACTAATTACGATTATTAAGCCTCATAAATAATTATTAGCTTCAATTATGGAATCATTTCCTATTTTCACATAATTAATTAATTAAATACCTTAATTAACGGTGCGGATTCTTACAAAACATGTCGTGGATGTTGGCCAAGTTCGGAGGCAAGGCAAGCTGATAGGCAACAGGTCCTACTCTACCAAGAATCTGGTATGGCCCAATATATCGCGGGCTCAGCTTCCTTACTCCGAGTGCCCGACCAACACCAGTGACAGGTGAAAGTCTCACAAACACGTGCTCACCCTCACTGAATTCCAGTGGACGATGCTTGACATCAAAGTAGCTCTTCTGGTGATTCTGCGCCTGCTTCAACTTTTCTCTGATCATCTGGATCTCCTGGGTGATATCTTGGACAAAGTCCAAGCCAAAAAGCTTCTTGTCTCCAACCTCAAACTAGCAGGTAGGAGTCCTACACCTCCTACCATACAGTGCTTCGTAGGGCGCCATGCCCAGGCTAGCATGAAAGCTGTAGTTGTACGAAAACTCAACCAACGGAAGGTACCTATCCCATGCTGAGCCCTGCTCCAACGTGCAAGCCCGCAACATGTCCTCCAAGGTTTGGATGGTCCTCTCAGTCTGTCCATCAGTTTGAGGGTGATAGGCGGTACTCAATCTCAACTGCGTACCAAAAGCCTCCTGTAGCGCCTCCCAGAACCGAGATGTGAACTTCGGGTCCCTATCACTGATGATACTCTCGGGCACCCCGTGAAGCCTCACAATCTCGCGAGCATAAAGCTTGGCCAACTGCTCTGTAGAGAAGCTCACCTTCACTGGAAGAAAATGGCAGACTTCGTCAGTCTGTCCACAATGACCCAAATAGAGTCACAACCCGCCTGAGACTTAGGCAATCCCACCACAAAGTCCATGGAAATACTCTCCCACTTCCACTGTGGTACTTCAAGAGGTTGAAGCTCACCAGACGGTTTTTGATGCTCGATCTTCACCTTCTGGCAAACCAAACACTTAGACACAAAAACAACATCTTTCTTCATGCCCGGCCACCAGAAGTTCTTCTTCAGGTCTTGATACATCTTAGTAGCACCAGGGTGGATAGAAAACTAACCCTTATGGGCCTCAGCCATAACCTCTACGGTCAACAGACCTCGAGGAACCACGATCCTCTGCTGAAACAAAAGAAGTCCATCTTCATTCCAAGACACACCGTCTTGGTTCTTCACATAATATAGACACTGTGTCTGAACTTGTGCCTCTTTGATCTTTTCTGACAGCTCATTCACAATGTCTATTGCTTCCATCTCGAGAAGTGCACTCCCACACAGAGCGGTCACTGCCAGGTTTCGGAACTTCTCAACCACATCAAGAAAACCAAGTAACAAACTGGATGAGCTCCCAGGTTTCCGGCTCAAAGCATCAGCTACCACATTGGCCTTGCCAGGATGGTACTTCAACTCGAAGTCGTAATCTTTTAGGAACTCCATCCATCTCCTCTGCGTCATGTTCAACTCTTTCTGGTCGAAAAGATACTTCAAACTCTTGTGGTCACTGAACACCACAAACTTCAAACCAAAAAGATAATGCCTCCGAATCTTGAAAGCAAACACAATAGCAGCCAACTCCAAATCATGAGTAGGGTAGTTCTCCTCATGAGGCTTCAACTGCCTCGAAGCATAGGCAATCACTTTGTCCAACTGCATCAACACACAACCTAGCCCCTTCCCGGAGGTGTTGGAGTAAAGCTCAATCTCAAGCGCAGGATCAGGAAGGACCAACACAGGTGCAGTAGTCAGTCTCTCCTTCAACTCCTGAAAACAAACCTTATACTCGTGAGTCCACACAAATGGAGTCTCCCTCCGGGTAAGACGAGTCAAAGGGAGAACCATTGTGGAGAAACCCTTGATGAACCTCCGGTAGTAACCTGCCAAACCCAGAAAGCTCTTCACTTCCGTAACTGTCTTAGGCCTCTCCCAATCCAGCACGACCTCGATCTTGTTCGGATCCACTGCAACTCCTTCAGCATAAATCACATGCCCAAGAAACTTCACAGACTTGAGCCAAAACTCATATTTGGAAGGCTTCGCATACAGTTTCTTCTCCTTCAGCACTTATAGAACAATTCTCAAATGCTCCACATGCTCCTCCTCCGTCTTGGAGTAAATCAAAATATCGTCAATGAAGACGATCACAAACTGATCCAGGTACGGCTGGAAAATCTGGTTCATGTAATCCATGAACACTGCAGGTGCATTGGTGAGTCCAAACGGATTCACCAAATACTCAAAATGACAGTATCTCGAACGAAATGCGATCTTAGGGACATCCTCCGGCTTCACCCGAATCTGATGGTATTCAGACCAGAGATCAATCTTCGAATACACGCAAGCACCCTTGAGCTGATCCAACAGATCATCAATCCGAGGAAAGGGATACTTGTTCTTGATCGTCACCTTGTTCAGCTGCCTGTAGTCGGTGCATAATCGCATTGTCCCGTCCTTCTTCTTCACAAAGATGACCGGTGCTCCCCAAGGAGACACACTCGGTCTAATGAAATCTTTCGCTGAAAGATCCTCAATATGCTTCTTCAGCTCTGCCAGCTCCGGTGGCGACATCCGTTATGGAGCTAATGAAATAGGCCCCACACCAGGCAACAGATCAATGGAGAACTCTATCTCCCTCTGTGGCAGAAACTCAGGAATCTCCTCAGGAAACACCTCGAGGAATTCCCTCACCATAGGAATGCCAGTGATATCCTCTTGTGTCCCACTCACCAAACCTCCCAACATGACATAACCAAATGCCCCAGCTCTCAAGGCTCTCCTAGCCAGTAGCAAAGAAATGTACGGCGACGAACTAGCTGTGGAATCACATGGAGATATCACCACACGCTTGGCACAACAGTCAATCAATGCACAGTTCCTGGACAACCAATCCATGCCCAGAATAACCTCCAAGTTAGCCATCGGCAATCCTATCAGATCTACCAAATACTCATGGCCATCCCACTGAAACACGACATCTCGATGTACAGTGGTAGAGTCACACTTTTCCCCGGTGGCGGTGGTCACCCACAACGGTGGAGAAAGCACAGACATGGGAACTCAATCCCCATAGCAATCGGGGTTGTAACAAAAGAATGCGTAGCCCCAGAGTCAAACAAGACATCAACAGATGATGCACCAATAGTAACAGTACCTCTGACTAGGTTCGAAGCTCGATCTGACTGCTGACGATCCAGGGTATAAACACGCCCAGAAGACGATGGCACTGCCGGTGCCGAAGTAGGTGGAAGGGGAACCATCTAAAGTGGCACTGCCTGCACTGCAGTAGCTCTCGCCGTCGACGATGGACAGTCTCTAGAGAAGTGGCCCTCCTTGCCACACTGAAAGAAAATCAACTGGCCCGTAGAACATGGCCCAAAATGAGTCTTCCTGCATCCCAAACACTTGGGAGCAAGAGGTCTCGCTGCACTCCCCTGAGCAGAAGTCCTCTTAAACTGATTCGGCGCTTGCCGAGCCGCTATCTGCTTTCCCTTGCCCTTTTTCCCAAACTTCCTGCCAATCTTTCCAGCATCTGGTCCAGGAATGGAATAGGGAAATGGTCTTTCCTGGTTGCTTTATCGAGTCTCCTGTAGTCAACACACATCCTCCAGCCAGTCACTGTTCTTGTGGGAATCAGGTCATTGTTCTCATTCCTAACCACAGTCATCCCTCCTTTCTTGGGCATTGTCTGAACTGGACTCACCCATGCACTATCTGAAATAGGTTAAATCATCGCAGCATCAAGCAACTTCACCACCTCTTTCCTTACTACCTCCTTCAGAGTGGGATTAAGTCTTCTTTGTGGTTGCCTCACTGGTTTGACTTCTTCCTCCATCAATATCTTGTGAGTGCAGAAGGAAGGGTTGATACCCTTAAGATCTGAAAATGACCAGCCCATGGCAGTCTTGTTCTTCTTGAGTACCTCAACCAACTTCACTTCCTCCTTTTCAGACTAAAACTCATTGATAATGGCTGGGTATGTTTGATCATCCCCAAGGAACACATACTTCAGAGTAGAAGGTAGTTCTTTCAGTTCCACCTTAGGTGCTCCCTTAGGAATGTCATCCACCTTCTTTTCAAGCTCTTCAACTACTGGTTCCTCCTGATAAAATTCCCCACTCATTTCTTCCTTACTTTTGTCTTCCTCTAACAACAATTCCTCTTCTCCTTTTACTTCCTCCACAACATCCTGTATGATATCTATCCTGAAACAATCCTCCACATCAGCAGGATGTTTAATGGCTTCAAACACATCAATTGTAACTGTCTCTTCATTCACCCTTAGCATTAGCTTCCATTTTTCAACATCAATCAGGGATCTAGCAGTTGCTAAGAATGGCCTCACTAGAAGTAAAGGGCTTTCAGTATCTTCTTCCTCCTTATCAAGTATCACAAAGTCAACTGGAAAAATAAACTTATCTACCTTGACCAGAACATCTTCAACCACACCTTCTGGTCTTTTGATGGATCTATCAGCAAGGTGCAATATAAGATTAGTATCCTTCAGGGTGTTGATTCCCAAGGCTCTACATACAGTCAATGGCATCAAGTTAATGCTAGCCCCTAAATCACAGAGTGCCTTCCCTACTTCCACATCTCCAATGGCAATAGGGATGCTGAAACTTCCAGGATCTTTCAATTTTGGTGGAAGCTTCTTCTGGATCAGGGCACTACACTCTTCTGTTAAGGCCACTGTCTCACCATCCTTCAATTTCCTCTTCTTAGACAGAAGATCCTTCATGAATTTGGCATAGGGAGGCATGTTCTCCAAGGCCTCAGCAAATGGAATGTTAATCTGTAACTTCTTAAAAATATCCAGAAACCTTGCATAGTGCTGCTTCTGGATTTCCTGCTTCAACCGTTGAGGATAAGGCACTTTAGCATATGGAGATAGGTTGATTGGCTGGTCCTGCTTCTCAGCCATCTTCTTCTTCTCCCACTTCATCAACTTCTGGGGTGAAGAACTTTTTTCAACCACTACCTCTTTTTCTTTCTTCTTTTCCTCAACTTCCTCTTCTCTATCATTTTCAACTACAACATCTTCAACAACAACTTCCTCCTCATTTTTCTTTTCTCCCGCTTTCTTCTCATCCATTTTCTTGTTCACTGGTTGGAGCACAAGCCCACTTCTTGAAATAATAGACTTGCAGTGCTCCTTTGGATTCACCATAGTATCACCAGGGAACCTCCCCTGTGGTCTCTCAGATATCTATCTTGATAGCTGACCAATCTGGGTCTCCAAGTTCCTGATAGATGCTTCCTGATTTCTGAATGAAGTCTTAGTCTCTTGCATGAATGCAGATGTTCCTCTCTAAATGAATTAGACCCCTGAATGTAATCTTGAGTAGTCTTGGATAACTGGGCAAAGGCTTTTTCCCATGCAAAAGTATCACCTTGCTGTGATGAATTTGGTGGTGGAGGATGTAATGGAGGATTCAACTGATGGTTGGAACTATAACTGAACCCTGGGTGTTGATTCTTGTTCTTCCATGGTGGCACATACACATTTCGCCCCTGGTTGTTCTAGTTCCCCTTATCACACCACACTCCATTAACCTCTGCTTGTTCTGGTGATCCTCCATAATCACAATCATCTGTAACATGGTTTTTCCCACAAATGGCACACACACAATTGGTGTCCACAGAAGCAACCTTTTGTGAGGATAGTTGCTTAGTGAGAGCATCCAACTGTTGTTGTTGCTGTCTCTGTGTCTGCATCAACTGGTCATTCCTTGCCAACAAGGCATCATACCCATCCAACTTGATGATCCCTGTCCTTCTGTCACTCACTGGGGCATTATCAAATTCCTGAGATGCCAATGATTCAAAAATATCCAAAGCCTCTTGAGGAGTCTTGGTGGTCAATGATCCATCAACAGTGGCATTCACCAATGTCCTAGTATTGATGGTCATCCCTTGTAGGAAGAATGTTGCTTGATTCCACACCTCTATTCCATGCTGTGGACATTTCCTCAATAAAGTCTTGAATCTCTCCTAGGCCTCATAAATGGATTCTGACTCTTTTTGCTTGAAGCCTGTGATCTCATCCTTCAACTTTGCCCTCTTGGCTGCTGAGAAGAATCTTTGCAAGAACTTGGTTTGCAGATCATCCCAAGTTGTTATACTCCCATGAGGCAATGATTGCAACCATCTCCTTGCATCATCCTTCAGTGAATGAGTGAATAGTCTCAACAGAATTGCATCCTTTGTGACACCATTAATTTTCATAGTATCACTCAACAACAGAAAATTTTCTATATGCAAGTAAGGGTCCTCTGCACTGGTTCCAGCAAACTGCTCCTTCTGCACTAACTGTACCAATGCAGGCTTCAATTCGAAGTTGTTTGGCTCTACTGTAGGGCGCACAACACTACCAATTGGAGGAGTCACTGCAGGAGTCATGTAATCTCCCAGTGTCCTCTGTTCTGGTGGTGGTCTATGGTTCTCTGCCATTATTTCTTCTTGGTTGACAGCACTGGATTCACCCTTCTCTTGAAACTGTCTTCTTTGTCTTGCTGCCCTTTTGTTCCTTCTAATTGTCCTTTCTAATTCTGGGTCAAATAACAAGGAATTTTTATCAATAGTACCTCGCATACACCTGAATTAAAATGGAACAAAAATTCATACAACAACAACAAAAAATATCAAATACTGAAATTAAAAGATTCAATCTTTACAACTAATGGTGTCTGTCAATGTTGAAAAACAAATTCTCCGGCAACGGCGCCAAAAACTTGTTGTCAAATTTAGCAAGTGTACTAGTCAAACAAGTAATAAAATGATGAGTAAAGATCGTTCCCACGAGGAATTGTGTCAAGCACTGACTAACCAAATGTTGTTAAGTTGAATCAACCAAAAGATTATAAATTGCATTTATTTCTTGTCACCAAAAATTTAGTTTGAATAAAATTAAAGAATTGATAAACAGATAAAGTGCGAATATAATTTAAAGCAAGTAGTCAGATGTCAATTTCTCTCAAGAATGAATTTATGGATGAATCAATTTCCATGATGAATATCTACTATGTGATGTTGATCAACCTTTTTCTTATCATCTCAAGATGTAATGTCTTACTACCCTGATAGACACATTAATCAGAAACCCCAATGTCTTGGTGATCCCTTTCTTAATACATGCATTAATCACTAAGGTCTTAAGACCACATCAGAATCCTAGCATCAATGTCTTGACTACTAGAACACTAATGATGAAGTTGTCAAAAATAGAGAAACAATGTAAACATGTATGTTCTACACTATTTATCAACATGAAGAATTAATCAAGACAACTTCATACAATCACATAATAGATAAACAAAACATCTAATTAACCATTCATAAATTCAAACTTGAGTTCCATTGAATCAGACTACAAGGGACTCTACTCAGACATAATACAAAGAACAACAAGATAAGAAAGAACAAACTCCATTGTCATGATAGTGAGTCTTCAATCTCCAAGTATAATTATACAAGATGTACTAACTAATACAAAACTACTCCTAAGAATTTGGAAAGTAAGAGAGAGAATTCAGATCAGAGGATCTGATGTAGGAGGGAGAGATATGATGGATGATATATCAGAAATGTGAAGGCCCTTGCCTTTTATAGTGTTACAAATTACAACTGAAAAATAACATGGGCGCTAAAACGTTCTAGATGGGCGTTTTGGCGTCCATGTTTGACGGGTGTCCAACTGCTTTCAACTAACTTGGGCGCTAAAACGTGAGCTGTTGAACGTTTTAGCGTCCATATCTGGTGAATGCTGAACTGCTTCCAACAAACTCCAACGCTAAAACGCTTGGCTTGGACGTTTTAACGTTCGAGACCAGAGTCTTTTTGCAGCAGCAGGGCGCTAAAACGTTTGGTCAGGGAGTTTTAGCGCCTAAGACCAGCAACTTTCGTCCTTAGTTTGCAGCAGTGCGCTAAAACGTTCTAGGTTGGACGTTTTAGCGCTTGGCACCAGCAACTTTTGCCTTCAAATTGTAGCAGCGCGCTAAAACGGTCTGTGAGGACGTTTTAGCGCTCAACACTTAAGCATTCTCTCTTTCTCCAGAATCTTCTTCTTCTCTCTGCTGCTCCTTGAGCTTCATTTCCCTACAAAACAGTGTAGATTTTCAACAAAGCTTTCAGAACTTACACTTGAGGGCTTTCTAGGACATTAATCTCTTTTTCATCCAATTAATCACATAAATTAATACAAATTCATGCTGAAAAACCTGATGAACTAGGGGTTTATCATCCTAATATTCCATGCGCCACTCTTGTGTTTTTCTTGCTGAAAATTCACTCATCTAATCACCTTGAAACCTTGCCTTCTTCCTCTCCATTAGGGACGCCTAGCTTGTCTCCCTTGGTGTTCGTTGGTGGCTTTGAAGAAGGGTTCTTCCGTCTTGACAAAGGGAGGTGTGGATCAACATTAGAAGGCTTGTATCTTCAAGCCTCACCTTGATCATCTTCAAGGTTTGGAAAGCAAACAAGGTAACATCCATGTCCTAAAGCATGTTTCTTGATATGGTATATGTAATTCCACTTGAGAAAATTTTTGTTTTTCCCTCTCACATGCCTACGGCCTTCAAGGCCCATTCTTTCATTGGCCTTCTCATTACGTGCCCAAACCATCTCAATCTATGTTCTCTTATCTTCTCAGCCACCGGTAGTACTCCTACCTTTCGTCAAATATCGTCATTTCTTATCTTATCCATCCTCGTATAACCACACATACACCTTAACATCCTCATCTCTGCTACTCCCATTTTATGCTCATGTTGCCTATGTGCTGACCAGCATTCAGCTCCATACAGCGGGGGATTTTTCAAGTCACACAAAAACCCAAATGCACTGCGCCATTTCATCCACCCTGCTCTGATTCTATGATTTACATCCTCATCAATCTCTCCACCTTTTTGCAAAATGGATCCCTGGTATTTAAAAACGTCTTTCTTGGGTACCTCTTGACCATTTAGATGCACGGGATCTCGGTCTACATCTCTTACCAGAGAAAACTCACACTTCAGATACTCAGTCTTGCTTCGACTTAATGTGAATCCTTTAGATTCCAATGTGCTTCTCCACACTTCAAGTTTTCTATTAACACCATCCTTGCTCTCATCAATAAGCACAATATCATCTGCAAAAAGCATACACCGTGACACTTTCTCTTGAATATCTTTTGTTAGTTCATCCATAACTAAGGCAAAGAGATAAGGACTTAGAGTCGACCCTTGGTGTACACCTACCGTGATAGAGAAATAACTTGATGTTTTGTTACAAGCTTTCACACATGTAGTAGCCCCATCATACATATCCTTGATTGCCTTTACATACTTTGATGGTACCTTTTTCTTCTCCAGAACCCACCATAAAACTTTCCTTAGAAACTTATCGTATGCTTTCTCAAGGTCTATGAACACCATATGTAAGTCTTTCTTCTTTTCTCGATATCTTTCCATTAGTTGTCGCATCAAGAAAATGGCTTCCATGGTATATCTTCCTGGCATAAATTGAAATTGATTTACAGAAACCTTGGTATCTCTCCTCAAGCGATGCTCAATAACCCTCTCTCACAACTTCATAGTATGGCTCATTAGCTTAATGCCTCTATAGTTTGAACAATTCTGTATATCCCCCTTGTTTTGTAGATAGGCACAATCATACTTTTCCTCCATGCATCAGACATCTTATTTGTCTGGAGAATCTTATTGAAAAGATTGGTCAACCATTTTATTGCCACATCCCCCAGGCCTCTCCACACTTCAATAGAGACACCATCAGGTCCCAAGGCTTTATTAATTTTCATCCTCTTTAAAGCCTCCTTAACTTTATGGCTATCAATTCTGCGCACAAATCTTCTATTCAAATCATCATAAGCGTCCTCCAAGTCCACCTCGCTTATATCTCCATCCCCATTTAACAGCTTGTTGAAGTAGTTCATCCATCTTTCATTTACATCTTCATCTCTCACCAAAAGTTTTTGATTTTCATCCTTGATGCATCTAACATGGGTGAGGTCTTTACTTTTCTTGTCCCTTATTTTTGCAAGTTTATATATACCTTTTTCACCATCCTTGCTCCCAAGATTTTTATACAAATCAGCGAAAATCTTGTCTCTAGCTTCTCGCACTGCTTTCTTTGCATTTTTTCTCGCCAATCTAAACTTTTTCAAGTTCT